TTGCATCTGAATTTAAAAAGTTATCAGGTAACATTGTTTACTACTGAATCTGAATCTGTAAAAAAAAATTCAGGTCTCTGATTGAACTCTGAAGACCGAAGGTTCTGAGAACCCGGAGGGCTTTGAATTTTCAAACCTCAGCCAGACTGCCCCAGTTTTAAGGCTGGCTCATTCTGATTTAACTGAGCCCTATTCCCTTCCTTGTGCTGGGGTTAGAATATCTGAGTTTTCCATTTCATTTACATTTTCAGAGATTACTTGTAGGGATTTGAAGAGATTTTCAAACCCTATAAAAGGAAACTCTGCCCTGCAAAGGAGTCAGGACACAATGGTTGAGTGGGAAGAAGTAGACTTCTTGGGGCCCCTGCTGAAGCCTCTTAGCAGACCCCAAAGCTCCTCTCAAGGCTTTCAGGGCTTCTGCAAGTGGTCTGGAGGCATCAGAAGTATAATATGGATGTACACAAAACTAGAATTTACAACCTTCTGGAAAGCCGTCTATCACATGCCATCTGTTTCTTCACCGAGTCCTTGAGGGGGTTCCCTCTCCAGATCTGCCTTTACAAAAGTGCCACAGCCCTCTTCCCCGGAAGTCAGTAACGGGGTTTCTGCAGCAGTGTGGGGTGGGGAGGAAGCATGCCCTGAGCACCTCTCATGGCCAGCTGCTTGACACGCATGCCTCCTTGCCCTCTGCCAAACAAGGAAACAGACCTGCACTGCCCCATAGGACAGCCACATGCCAGGTGTAGCCCCTTCCATTTAAACTCTTTAAAATGGAATAATATAAAAATTCAGCTCGCAGTTAAGGTAGGAGCTTCTGTGTAAGCCAGGCACTCTTCTAGGGATACCTGATTATGTTGTTGAACCATCAATCCTGTCCCAAAGGAGTTTACTTTCTGGCAGAGGAAGACCCACAAAAATGTATGATGAGTACAATGGAAAAAGAAAATTTAAGATATTATTACAGTAAAAGATCTTAGTGCTGCAGAATGTGGCAGGTTAGTAGGTATAAGTGGCCCTGGAAGGCCTTGTAAGGAAGGTGAGGGCTGGAGTTAGGTGTGGGGACGCCTGGAGCAGAGGGGCGAGCAGGTGCGAGAGCCTGAAGACAGTGTCCCAGCTGTGTCTGAGGGAGAGTGAGGTGGCCAGTTGGGCTTGGCTGGGGCAGAATGAGCTGAGACGCTACTAGACCCTACGAAGCTGTGTACCGCCTCTGACTGCAAATGAGGTGTAAAGCCATGAAAGCTTTTCTGAAATAGGCTCTGGCTTGCGTGGAACAGAACAGGCTGCTGTATAGAGAACAGGCTTGCAGAGGGAATGGAAGTAGTTGTGAGACTACTGTAGCAGTCTGGGAACAAGATGGTCACTTGTACCAAGTAGGGTGCTAAGTGTGGCCAGACGCTGCACCTATGATTTTGAAGATAGATTGGATGTAGGCTATGAAGGAGATGGATAAAGGATGAGTCTGATGTTTTTGGTTTGTGTGACTAGAGAGATGGAGTCCCATGAGCCACAAGAGTATCAGGTGTGACGTGTCTTGGGGCAGAGGTTGGGAGGCTCGGAGGTTCGGCTTCTGATAGTGACGTGGCTAACAGACCTCCAGATGGAGGGGTCAAGCTGGCCAGAGACACTGAGGGAGTCATACCATGGAAATGGCACTGAAAGCCCTGCTACTAGCTAAGATCAGGGGCTAGGGTGATGGCTCAGTAGAATAAGTGCTTGCCTGGCAAACGCAAGGTCCTGAGTTCAATCCCTGGTACTGCAAAAAATAAATAAATTAATTAATAAATTAAAAAATAAAAATTAGCTAAGATCAGCAGACAAGTAAGTAACTAGCAAGCACCTAAGTAGGTTCTTGGAGTGCTTTAGCCTCAAATGATTGGGGCTGAAAGGAGGAAACGGCAAAAGAGACCAGGGAAGGGGGCGTGGACAGGGACATACACAAGGGGTTTGCCTTCCCTCTGGGAACTGTGCAGGCTCAGCTGAGCGCCCAAAGGTGTCTCCTCTCCTTGTTTTCATTCAAACATCTGGAAGCTGTAGGTGCTTAACAGGGTAAATTAGCATATGCATTCTGCCTTGTGAGTTCTCTAGTCTTTAAGAATCTGTTGTCCATGAGAGAGAGAGAGAGAGAGAGAGAGAGAGAGAGAGAGAGAGAGAGAGAGAGATAACAGCCAGCTGCCATGGGCCAAACAGAGTTCTTCCACGCCATGGGTTGAGGTCCTGATTCTAACACGTTGAGCGTCCCTAAGTCCAAACATCTGAAATCCAAAGTGCTGCAAACTCGGAAAGGTTTTGGTGCTGATGTAACACTCCAGGCAGAAAATTCCACACCTGACCTCCCGTGACAGGTTGGGCAAGGCACAGTTACACTGAAACTATTGTATAAAATTATAGTCGGGCTATGTGCCTAAGATGTGCATGAGACACAAATTCATTGGTTTAGACTTGAGTTCCGTCACTAAGGTGTCAAGTTACGTTTGTGTAAGCATCCAAAATCAGAACTGTTCTGACCCCAAGTATTTCCGTTAAGAGCTACTGAACCTCGTACTTTTTTTTTT